GTCCTCAGAGCACCTAGAACAGTACTCAGCTATAGTTCAGAAAGCATCTGTTCACCTAAATGACTGTCATTTACAGAGATCCAGTTTAAAGAGTTAAGAGCTTTATAACAACAAAACCAATCCAAACCCTTTTTCGATCTCTCTAGACAAAGTAAATTCTCCTTTTCTGTACAACTATATAAGCTTATTCATGTCTAACACAGCGCTCATCAAAGGAACTCTACTTATTTACTTACAAATCTGTCTTACCTATTGAGTCATGGAGAACAGAGACTGTGCTGTATTCATCTTTGTTACTCAACATAGTGCCTAACACATAGTAGTGCTCACTAAATAAACAGAAGTGAAATCACTCAATTTTCAAACATTTATTAAAAGTCTACCATGTGTAATTAGAAGACTTAGTCTTGTTAAAATATCAATATAACCCAAAGCATTCTATAGGTTCAATGCAATCCTTACCAAAATCCCCATGACATTCTTTTTAGAAATAGAAAAACCCACCTTAAAATTCATATGGAATCTCAAAGACTCTGAATAGTCAAAATAATCTTGAAAAGGAAGAACAAAGCTAGAGGACTCACACTTACTGATTTCAAAACTTACTATAAAGCTACAGTAACCAGAACAGTGTGTTACTGGCCTGAAGCTATACAGACAAATGAAATAGAATATGAGCTTGGAAATAAATTTTGACATACATATTCAAAGGTTTGGTAGAATCATATATACAGGATTAAAGAGGGAACTGGCCAGGAGAAACATTTTCCACATGATTCTACAGAGCATAAATACTTACACAATTATCTCCCATCAACCCTGCTGCCAAAAAGTTTTCTCTTAATCCTTAAGACCAAGAGGAGCCATGACAAGATTTAAAGTAGACATTTGCTTTTGAAAAACACCTCTGTGTGCAGTGGAGAAGATGGACCCATCTTAATGAATAAATGAAAAGAGTTATGGAGATGAATGGTGGTGATGGTTGCACAACATTATAAATAGAACCACTAAATCGTACATTTAAAAGATGGCAAATTTTATAACTGTATTTTACCACTATTAAAAAAACTGAAAGAAAAAAAGTCTGCCATGTTTAAGACATTATATTTAGCATTGTAATAAGGTGTTATTAGGTACTGTATTATGTACTACATTGTCCCCTTCAATATGTGAGACAAAATGAATCTAAACAAAGAAAATAACAAAAAGCTTTGTGAATACCAATGTACTCAGTGAGTATAAGAAAACGAGATTGAGAGCCTAAAATAAATTAAATCAAATCTGGTCCTCCCCTCTTCTCATCAGCATACAAGCCATCCTGATTTTATCCCTTCTCTCCAAAATAAAATAAAACCACAACCACATGCAAACTCTTTTGAGCTAAGTGTTTATACATTAGCTTATTGATTATGAACTGGAGTGCTAAAAATACTTTCAGGCACATAGAGATGAACAGAATTAGGATGTCCTTCAATGAAGCAAAAAAGATGGATCATACCAATAACCTACCTGTTACAACCAAGTATAGACAAAAGGAAAAAGAATAGATTTTAAAAACCATCTAAAATGCTGAGTAGTGGAAATGAAGGTCAAGGTCTGCTGTCTTTGCGTGCTAACTCATTTCATCTCCATGTTCATGTCCTCTTGACTTCTCTGTAAAAATGGCACTGTCTTACAAAGACAGCATATCAGAAAAAGCTGCCACGCTATTTTTTTTTTTTTTTTTGGAGACGAGTCTCAGTCTTCACCCAGGCTGGAGTGCAGTGGCCCAATCTCAGCTCACTGTAACCTCCGCCTTGAGGGTTCAAGCAATTCTCCTGAGTAGCTGGGACTACAGGCGCCTGTCACCATGCCCACCTAATTTTTGTATTTTTAGTAGAGGTGGAGTTTAACCATATTTGCCAGGCTGGTCTTGAACTACTGACTTCGTGATCCGCCCACCTCGGCCTCCCAAAGTGCTGGGATTACAGGCATGAGCCACTGCGCCCAGCCCAGGCTATTTTTTTTAACTTGCTTTTCTCCTAAAGCACCTTTACAGGCTCCTAACATGCATATATCATAGAACTTAATCTGGCTTCAGAAACACTTGGATAAAAAAAAAAGATTTATTTATATGATCACAGGATAAACACAGGCATACATTCCTAAACAGCATATCAAAATCAACAAACAACTTTTAAAGAAAGATTTAAAATAATGAGATATTCTAAAAGTGAGTATGTTTATCATAATACCAATAGAAGTAGCACATCAGTGGCACATTGGCAGTGGTGGTGGCAGTGGCAGCAATTGCCATTTACTGTTTTCTCATTGCCAGGAAGGGGTGCTTTATGAACCTCTCATTTAATCATCATCACAATTCTTTGGGTTTGATGATAATGCAGAACCATACACTATACTATCTAGGGTCACCTATTTCAAAATAACTTTTAAAAATGGAATTTGAGATGTTACTTCACTACAGAAGAGCAGAATTTGGCAGATGAGACAATTCCAGTAAGCTTCCTAAAATAGCATTTTGAGGTTAGTGCAGTTTTCACTGTATTTAAATGGATTAGCCTAGAGTCATTACTGCTCAAAATGATACTAATCACTCTAATTCTGATTAAAGGAACATGCAAGGCCATTCCAGATAAACTGTTAAGTCAGCAGAAACCTCAATCTCCCAGGAAAGCCTTTGAGAAATACTCATAAATCCAGTCTGTGGTTCTAGGGATACTTCTTATTTATAGTGAAGCTAATAGATTTTTATCCAAGTAACTTTTAAGATAAAAGTGAATTTAAAGAAAAAAGGAAAATTTAAAATCTGATTACTTTTTTAAAAATTTTATTTTAAAAACCTCTATTATATAGTTTTGCTCTCTTTCAACAAATACTGTGGACTGTGTTAAGGTATTAAATTCATTATCCAGAGAAAGCTTTGGCAATGTATTTGTGACTAGTATAGCCATTTCAGTCAAAATGCTTTCCTTTCACATCCTTGTATGATGATTTAATTTGTGATATCCTGATTTCTTTAAAAAAATCAATTTACTCTTGGGCTTATAAGCCATTTTCTCTTAGTTTTAGGGTCTAAATTTCTAGTCTCTCTTAATTACAAAAAAAATTATAGTGGGTCAAAATGCTTAATAAAATCTTGTTAGGATATGATTTATTGCAGTTAATCCGATTTTTTTTAAAGGCACTGTCTTACGAAAATTAAAGGAATGTCTGATTTGCAGCTACAGAGAAAAATTACACTTTTTAATCAAGAAGAAAACAATCTTTGGACAGGCTGCATGGCAGGGAGTACACTGAGATAACCTACCAACAAATTCAGTACAATATCAAATAAGTTGCTGATCACAAATAGAATGTAGATTTGACTGAAAAATAATAATTAAACATGTTTCATTTTACACTCTGGCTGTGTTTCTGCAAAGTTTTACGTAAGCTGTATTTTGGAAAACTGAATATTGTAAGTGTTCAAAAGGTAATTTCTACTATTAAGAACAACGTTATGTTAAATTCTTTGTAGAGTTAATGCCAAAGTAATTTGTTTGCAGATATTAATTTATTTGAATTGTTTAAAATGCTACTTGCATTCATAGAGAATAAAGCACCATGAGTATCATGATGAAGTCAGAACTCTTGTTATTATAGTCTAATCCAGAATGGAAAGAGAACTGGAAAAATGCATTTATTCTTATTCAGTTGTTCTCAGAGTACAATAAATTTTTACAGCAGTCCATTAATAGTTCTAACAGACACATCATAAAATTTGAACTATTTTATTTGAGGCAGGGTCTCACTTTGTCACTAAGGCTGGAGTGCAGTGGTGCAATCTCAGCTCATGGCAACTTTTGCCTCCCGAGGTTCAAGAAATTCTCCCACCTCAGCCTCCCAAGTAGCTGGGACCACAGATGTGCACCACGACAACTGGCTAATTTTTGTATTTTCAGTAGAGATAGGGTTTTGCCATGTTGCCCAGGCTGAGCTCAACTGATCTATATGCCTCAGCCTCCCAAAGTACTAGAATTACAGGCATGGGCCATAGCACCCAGCTGAACTATTTTTTATTGATTGGTTGATTGACTGATTGATTGAGACGGAGTCTCACTCTGTTGCCTAGGCTGGAGTTCAGTGGTGTGGCCTTGGCTCACTGCAACCTCCATCTCCTAGGTTCAGTGATTCTCCTGCCTCAGCCTCTGGAGTAGCTAGGATCACAGGGATGTGCTACCATGCCCAGCTACTTTTACTGTATTTTCAGTAGAGATAAGGTTCCACCATGTTGGCCAGCCTGGTCTCTAGCGCCTGACCTCAAGTGATCTACCCACCTCGGCCTCTCAAAGTGCGAGGATTACAGGTGTGAGCCACCACGCCTGGCCTATTTCATATATTTTAACACTAGACGCTGTGACTTAATTCTTACAAGTTTTTTTTTTTAAAAACTATCATTCCCAAAATATGTACATTTTGGTAAATACTCTTCAAATAAAATAAGTGAGAGTATTGGCTAAATGTAGCAATTAAAAGCAGGTTTTAAATCCTAGCTATTTCACATGTTAGGGCTGTATGATCTCAGAGAAATTGCTTTATCTTTCTATCCTCAGTTTTCTCATCTATTGAAAGGGAAAAACTGCAGAATCTACCTTGTAATGTTGGGGTGGTGATTAAAAGAAGTTAATCTTTATAAAGCACTTAGCACAATATCATAGAATAAGAGCTCAATAAATGTATACTATGTTGTTCTGGATAAAACCAAGAACAATAACTATCTGTGACATTTGCAACAAATGCCAAATTCTCTACTCTTGTTGACCCTCAATATAAGAAAGTCAAAGGGGGCAGAATAAAAATTTCTCATTGGGGCATGGTAATGATTTCTGACCTACCAGTTACCTGATTTACTGTAATATTTTCACTTTTTTGTGTTTATAACAAACAATTGAAATTAGATGCATGAAACCAACAGGAATTGATGATGTCCTTCATTGAGATATCATACAGAGCTTACCCACCTGTGTAGCTCTTCTGTTTTGTCTTCAGTTGGACCTACGATTAGTAAACAATGACGAAGGACAGCTGCCATTACACGAAACTGATGAGAATCACTCTATGGTAAATAAAAAAGAGGAGAGGAAAAATTGGGGGTTGAATGCCTTAACAGAGGGATCTGCTACATTACTAAATCTCTCGCCCACCCCAAACATTCTTATACCATACATTGTAAATGGTAGATTATCCTATGAAGAATTCCAGAGGCAATACTAAGTAAACAGTCACTATCTCATATGAACAACTACAACCACTTCCAGAAATGCTGAAATAGCCACTCTGGTTTACCTTCTTAAGATTCAATTCCACTGGAGATTTTTTCATTTCCAAAAAGCCTAAGTTTGTTTGTTCTATGGTACAGTGTTATAGTTTACTAGTCATTATAAAAGTTCCAACAGATGTGATGCTAACCAGGTATTTCAGAGGCTGGTTGTACATCCTTAATAAAAATGTCTCGTCTCTTAAATTTCAAAGCAATAGATCCACCAACTTCATTTTAATTAATTTTAATATCCTAATTCCCTCAAAACTACCAGCAAGTAATGAAAAACAAGTGATCTCCAATGTTTACTCATTGGCAGTGGTATTAAAGAGACACAGGGAGTTAGAGGGAAGAAGACAAACAATAGGAAATAACTAAGCCCTGAATAATCATTTCGTTTACTTCTTCATTTTTAGTGAGATCGTGGGCCATTATACTTTCTTTAATTATCTGCATGAAAGTCATCTTTCTTCTTCCAGATTTTAAATAGTTAAGAAGACACATGAAATTAGAGATAACTATGATAGCCTGGATATGTCATATTTCAGGAAGACTTCAACTACCTCAAAAACTACTAAAAAATTATAAAACTTCTTAACACATTGTTGATTTCAAGTCCATGTGAAGTAATATATTTTCATAAATTATACACATATATGCTATATTTATACATAGAATTCACATAGCCCTTCTAGGAAGATGTCTCTCACAAAATCTAGCAAGTAATTGGGGTACACTTTCACAACTCATAATGTGGACAGTAATATTTTAAACATAAAATCATCATGTATAGAGTTGGATGAGAAGAGGGCCTCAGTGGCCTAAATGAAATAAAGGCACTGCACTCGGGGTCATGAGTCTAGATTGTCACTCTAGACAAGTCATATCGTTTCTCTGAGCCGCAGTTTCCCCACATGAATCTCCAAATACTGGAGGGTTCTGTCAGGGTTACAAAGGATTAAAGAAAATGATACGCATAAAAGTACTTTAATACTTTCAATAAAACATTTGAAAGTTAGGGAGAAGTATAACAGAAGAAGGGAACAAAAGGCAGGACTGATAGAGCTGAAACAAATGATAAATAATTGTAGGGGGAAAGGGAAAAAACAAAGAGGGACTAGTTATGACAGGGACACTAAAACTGGCAGGGTTGGAAAGAATGCTGTCCCATTCAATAACCATCTCAAACATCTGAATAAAAATTCTCTCATATGTTAAATACCCATGTGAAACACATCCATTACTGAACTCTTGATAAGATCATATGTCCCTTTGGTTTTAAAAATTAACTAGGAAATACGCTTCCTTTTAAATTAGATTTTCCTTTATTTCAGATAAAATAATCTTTCTCTTTTATGCTAATGTTGACAGCCTTTTGTAAATCTATCCATTTTGGTCTTTCCATTATTTGCAGCTGCAAACCAAAAACTCCACTTTTTACCCTAGTTACGCCTTTTCCAGTTTTGATAACATCAACTCCTAAGTTGTGCCCTATGTCTACAATACCCTCTCTTACTCTAAATCCACTAAATTATCTCCATTTCTCTACTTAAAACAACTACTAAAATCCCTGGATTGTTTGCCTCTGCTCTTTGTATCGCTGATTCCTTTGTGTACTCCAGGTCTCAGCTAAAGCACCTTCTCAAAGAAGATTCTTCTTTCTCTCATGAAATCATAATTTGTAACTTCACCTTTGTTTACTTGCATATACTTTGTTTCTTCCACTAATCTATTACCTTAATGAGGAAAGAGGGTGTGTGTTTAATAGGTCATCAATGAATTTTAATGTAAATATTATGTATAATGTACATACAGGAAAGTACCCAAATCATTAGTGTACAGCTAAATTTTCACAAAATGAGCACAGTCATACAACCAGTATAAAAATCATGTAATGCCAAAATTAAGAATCCCAGAATTTTCCCCATATCACCTTCAAATGACCTTGTTAATGTTACAGGTTAGTATTTTGGTTGTTATTGAACTTTATATGTATGGAATCATAAAATACATATTCTTGTGTTGGCTTCTGAGATTCATTCACATTCCTCTGTCTAGTTGCAGTGTGTTATTTTTCACTGTTTGAGAGCAGTGCTGTTTGAAGTATGTTTGCGTACCACTGCTGGTCCACATCCTGTTCATCACTGATCCGCAACACCATGAGTACGGAAGGTATGCGTGAACATTTAGAAACTTCTGAGCAGTTTGGCATTGTGTATAATACTGTATTATACAAGAGTTGCATTCTGACAGATTTTTAGGGAAAAAAATCTGGTCCTTCACTACAGATAAGAAAGCATTGCTGAACCTAAGTACAATTAAAAAAAAAAAAAAAGAAAGAAAAGAAAGCACTGCTGTATAGTATTTCAATATATAAATATGCCACAATTTACTTATATCTACTCCTGATTGACACTTGGACTGTTTCCAGCACGGGGCTATCTTGAAAAGTGCTGCTGTGAACATACTTTTTACATGTTATTTGATATCTACAGGTACACACACTAGAGAAGAGATGCTGAGTCACAAGTTATATCCATATGACAAGCCTTACAAGGTACTACTAAACTGAAGTACTTTTTACCCATTTATACCCCACCAGTGGCTCTAGAGGGGCACCATTACTTGTTATAGTCAGTCTTTTTAATCAGTTATAGTTATGGTCATTCTCATGGACATGTAGTGATTTCTTATTTGTAGTATGCATTTTTCTGGTGACTAATAAAGTTGAACACCTTTTCATACGTTTATTAGTCATTTGGATATCTCTTTTGTGAAGTTCCTGTTTAAGCCCTTTGCTTATTTTTCTACTGGGTTGTCTGATTTTTATTTTTATGGGTTTGTAGGACTTTTTAATGTATTCTGAAGACAGTCATCGCACATTTGTTCTCCTCCAGTGTCCTGTCTTTTTGCTTCTTTTGATGAACTCACTTTAATAAAGATTGTTTTGTTATTTCTTTCCTTTATGGTTTGATCCTTATTTTGTCCTGTTTTAGAAATCTTTGCTTATTTACAAAATATCTTCCTTGCATGAGATAAAGTCATGAAGATACTCTTCACTAAGCTTTATTATTTTACCTTGTATATTTAGGTCTCTTATTCAACTCAAATTAAATTTTTACATCTGGTATAATATAGGGATTCAAATTCATTTTTTTCCATATGGCCATACAATTGATAAAGCCCCATTTATTAAAATGCCCATTCTTTCATTATTGCACTTCATTGTTACTTGTATCATAAGTCAGCTGACTGTGTCAACTCTGTTCTATCCCATTTGTCTATGTCTCAATAAATATTTGTTGGATGAGTGCTATCATTTAAGAAGTCTTAACAAAACTTAAAGTAAACACTATTTTCTACTGTTCGTTATTCTACTGTGAGACTTTCCATAAGCAGTTTAAACTCTCTGATCTTCACTGTCCTCATTTGTCAAATGGGGTTAATGCTACTGTATCACAAAGATACCAGAAATGAAATGCAATTGTTTTTCATAAAACATTATACAAACACAGCTTATACAACTGTTTATTAATTGCTTCCTAATTTAGTTTTGCTATTTTCAGGGCATCAATATTCTCTCCTCCTAAAATGATATCACCTTCAAAGGATGAGAGAGAAAATAAGTCCATAAGGATGAAGGGTAAAGGAAGAGAAAGAGACCAAGCAGGCTTGGTTGTGATAGTGAAAATCAAAATGAGATAACATTAAAAGACAGAAAAAAAAAAACTCAGGAAATTCACTGGGATCTTCTTTACACAGCTTTCATCTTAATCACAGATTAAGAAGCTTTCATCTTAATTACAGATTCCACTACTTATATGTCCTTCAAAGTCTCTAAAATAATCATGGAACTAACCTCTTTTGTTACAATGTGACATTCCTAATTAACTTCTATGGACACTGTTTTATCTTATTCAGATGGTATCCTTTGACTACTCAGATACTTGTATTTCTCTGTTTGCACTTGGCTGTCTGTTTCTAACATGTCTGCTGGTCTGTACTTTCTTAGTACACTGCACTGATACCCTGGAAGCACTGGAGAAGGGAGTGTGGTCTAGGGATCCCTAACAGTCCCTGGAATAACATGCTCTATTCTATCAACAGAGACATTTAGAAAAGTGTTAAAGCAGGAGGAAGACAAGACCATTTCAATCAACTTTTCTAAAACTGACTTTATATCCTGCTAAAGAAATCAACTGGCCTTTTAAAACACAGTGTCTTTAGGAAAGGGAGAGAGAGACTGATTCCACATGTTGAAATAAGTCTAGCTACATTTCCCACTGAATGGAAAGCAAACTCCAAATTAATCTGCTGATGGCATCAGAAAGCAGGCACGAATTTAACATTAAGGCATGAATCTAAAATGAACAAATTGCACTAATTTGCTAAACCTCAAGAAAAGCCTAGTCATTAATTTTCTATTACTGGTGAACTGTAAATGAAAGTGGTCATAAAAATAACTAAAACAGTTTAAAGCCAAAACCAAACGTTTGTATTTTCTGTAACTGTCAAGATGTGAAATAGGCAAAGATTTAAAAAGTGAAATGCCCAGGGTTTGAAAAGGTATAACCCAGTAATATTTTTCTGAAGGTAAAATTAGCAACATATATAAAAACATCTTAAAACTTTGAAACCTTCTGGCCTGCCAATTTCAGGAACATATCCACAAAGATTTTATAAGAAAAATCACTGGAATTTAAGACAGCAAGCAACTATAAACAACGTTAAGTGTCTTCAAAGGGAGATGTGTTAAAACTTAATGTATCTTTCTTTTTTTTCCTGAGACACTGTTACCCAGGCAGGAGTGCAGTGGCACAACCATGCAGCCTTAACCTTCTGGGCTCAAGTGATCCTCCCACCTCAACCTCCCAAGTAGTTAGGACTACACACACATGCCACAATGCCTGAATAATTTTTAATCTTTTTTTTATTTTTCTGTAGAGATTAAGTCTCATTATGTTGCCCAGGCTGGTCTCAAACTCCTGTGCCGAAGCCTCCCAAAGTGCTAGGATTACAGGCATGCGCCACCACTGCACCCAGCGATATTCTTCATTTTTCATAGATCTGTTTATACTTATTAGTATGTATTATTTCACAAGAAGGTAGAATGTGGTTATCAAAAATTTCTTTTTGGTTGCAGAACCCTTTTTATCCCCAAATTAAATCTTAATTACAACCTATATTTAAAGAAAATCAATAGCAATAGCAAGAACAATTGGTGCTCTTTATTTAAAGTAAGGATGAGGAACTGGGAACACTGTCCACTTACTCCCAGAGGCCACTCCTAGGTACCTGATGGCTTAAAGAAACATATTTTGAAAGCCTACTCTTTATAAACTTTTATTGTGAAGAAAAAAGACTAAGGTTGTTAAATGATTGCATTTTTGTAAAAATTTACATCTATCTGTTTGTTTATATATTATACAATGAAGAACAGTTAGAAAGATACACACCAGCCGGGCATGGTGGCTCACGCCTGTAATCCCAGCACTTTGGGAGGCCCAAGCAAGCAGATCACCTGAGGTCGGGAGTTTGAGACCAGCCTGACCAACATGGAGAAACCCAATCTCTACTAGAAACACAAAAATTAGCCAGGTGTGGTGGTGCATGCCTGTGATCCCAGCTACTTAGGAGGCTGGGGCAGGAGAATCACTTGAACCCAGGAGGCGGAGGTTGCAGTGAGCCAAGATCGTGCCATTGCACTCCCTCCAGCCTGAGCAATAAGAGCAAAACTCTTGTCTCAAAAAAAAGGAAGACATACACCAAAAGGGAAACAGTGCTTGGTGCAGTAGCATACATCTGTAATCTCAACTACTTGGGAGGTTGAGGTAGGAGGACTGCTTGGGCTAGGAGTTGAAAACCAGCATGAACAACATAGCAAGACCTATGCCTTAAAAGAATAAAAAGTAATTAGCCGAATGTGGTGGCCTGCACCTAGTCCCAGCTACTCGGGAGGACGACTTGAGCCCGAGTGTGAGGCTGCAGTGAGCTACGATCACATCACTGCATTCCAGCCTATATGACAGACAAGACTCTGCACTTTGGGAGGCCAAATCCCAGCACTCTGGGAGGCCGAGGTGAGTGGATCACGAGATCAGGAGTTCAAGACCAGCTTGGCCAACATGGTGAAACCCCATCTCTATTGAAAATACAAAAAATAGCCAGAAGTGGTGACATGGGCCTGTAGTCCCAGCTACTCTGGAGGCTGAGGCAGGAGAACTGCTTGAACCTGACAGGCAGAGGTTGCAGTGAGCAGAAGTAGCACCACTGCACTCCAGCCTCGGTGACAGAACAAGACTCCGTCTGCCCCCACCACCAAAAAAAGAAAAGGAAAAAAGTGCTTATCTTTGAGTGGTTAGCTCATAGGTAATTTGTATTTCTTATTGTTCATATGCCTTTTTCCTATTCTACAGTGAATAATATATGAAATATATTATTTTCATAAAAAGGAAAATAACGTTTATTTTAAAAGCTGGATTCTTCTGTACAATAAGTTTCCATATCCTTTTATTTTTTTTAAATACTTGCAATTCTTTAGGTGCTTGTCCAATTGAAGTAAACTGTCTTTTGTCTGACAGCAAAAAAGATATTAAAATTCAGGTAAATGGACTCTTAGTAGCAAGTTTCTTTGCATCCTGGTGAGAGATTTTCTTTATGCTACCTTGTGGGTACCTCAATAGAAAGTACTGTATGTTTTGGTCTCTGTCTTTCCATATACTGTTTAACTTCCATAAAATGTTCATCCTCCGGTTTTTCAAATGACTGAATCGTTGTGTTTTCAGATCTCAGTAGAGACTTTCAGAAAATTTCTTTTACTAAGTATTCTCAATCAGTGTGATATTTATATCCTAGTACTTAACAGAATTTGAATTATATATCTGTTTACTGACTTATTGCCTATCTCACCTAAAAAACTGAAGTTTCATGAAGGCAAAGACAATGCCTATTATTTGCCAATATATTACATAATGCTTGGCATACTATCTAGCAATTAACTGACTGGATGAATGAATGACTAAATGTTTGCCAAAAGTTGACTCCGGAAACTCATGAAGACATTCTTATCTAACTGAGTTGGCAAGAATCTTATTTTCAATACTATTTAAATTTCTAAGCACTTCAATAATAGCCAGAGTCACATTTAAATGGGCATATTTTATAATGGCTGTATCAGCTGACTCACAACAGGTATAAGGTAAGAGATACCTGGCTCCAGGATTACTGATCCTTTTCATCTATCCTTTGGAAAATAAATATTCGATAACACAGAATGAGGATTTGCTACTTCAATGTCTTCTAAAGCTTCTTCTAGCTCTGACATTACTTATAAGTAAAGTACACTAATGAGAGATAATCTCAATACACTGATATTTATTACCTGTCATCCATCTCATACATATACTGATGTGTAGCCACTGAATTTTAAACCCTTTTTTGTCAGGAATCTGAACAGTGTGAGCTACTATTCTGGTTACAACTGAAATAATAGGGAGCTCTATAATAGCAAAACTCAGAAGTTTAAGGTCTCAAATTGAGAACTTAAAAACCCCAAAACAAACAGCATAAGAAAAATAGCCACAGAAGGTACAAAATAAGCATAGAGACATAACATTTTAAATACTTCCAAATATTTGGTTTCAATGCATAAATGGAGCATGTGGGCTTTCCACATCTTTTCTTGCCAAGTCCCAGGAAAAATTGACCATACTACAGTCATCTAAAACAGCTGTTAGGAATGATCTTCAAATATCTGGTTTCAAAATACAGACCTATTTGCACTTTAAAACTCAGATGTATGCATACTCCCACTATAGCACTGTACTGAGATAATCTTTTAAAGTAGGTTGCTGACAAAAACACATCTTTATTCATGGGTGAGAAGTGTTTCAAATGGACACAGCAAAATGTTAGCTAAATCTTAAAAGTCAATTGTCAGAAAAGACAATTTGCTCTGGTACCAAAATCTCTCTCTCTTTTTACTGGAAGGGCTGAATTCCACTAGTTATTTAAGGCTAAAAAGAGAGTAAATGTGAAATGTTATGCTTCTAGAAGGAAGGAAAAAGTTTATGTCTACTTCACTTAATTTGTTGACTTCCTTAAACTAAGTTTCCTATTTAGCATATTGTTCTTGCAGGTACTCAATTGTAAACTATCGAATCTGTCTCACTTTGGGTTGCTGGAGAGTTCAAGCAGCTGTGAAGGATATTTGTCTAGAAATAAGTCAAGTGGTTTAAAATAACCTTTCCCATACTCTAATATTATCAGCTTATTTTCTAGAACTTACATACGAGCACAGATCTAGTTGTGGTCTTACACCTCGGATAGTTATCTAACACTATAGAGAAACCCCCTGGAGACTGGGATGATAGGCATACACAGAGCATCTTCTTCTCTTCTGAGCAGACACCAATTCTGATTGATCAACTTCAATTGGCTTGATCTGTCTTAGCTTTTCTTTAAGATGGCAGCCACTGAAAATGCCTATACCTTTATCAACCACGTTGTTTTGTTTCCCTTCAAATCTTATCATTTAGGTCTTATTCCTGAAAGAGGCACTCTTAAAAAGAGAGAAGTAATAATGCAACTCGGAATACTAACTATATTTGGCATCTTACAAAATAGTAGTCCATATTCACCCTATTCTGATAGGTATTATTACAAAAATGGAAAGAATAAGACTTACAACAGTTAAGAAGTATATCCTGGGTAATACAATTGCTTAATGGGAGAAGTGGGAACTTTTTCCTTTCCCAACTTGTATTCTTCTCTTGCAGGAAACTCTAGGGATGTGCCAGAACAATTAAATTCCAGGTAGATAAAAATAGCCTTCTCTACCTTACCTCTTTATGGACCTTCCAACTGTCTACCGTCACATTGAAGAGAGCTTTGAGGGCCTCAATGGCACAGTCTGTCTCCTGAGGTGAGAGAGGAGGTCCATTATGGTCTATGGCCGATTCATACTCATCGGTCCACTTGATGCTAAAGGCACTTTCCAAGACCTGGGTTAGCAGCGGTAGTCCCTGGAGCTCATAGCGCAATTGTGACCTGATGTCGGTGTGCAAAAGTGACAGAAGGAAGAGTAGGCGCAAGTCAAAGCACTTAATGTCATTGATAAATTTCCGGTCCGTGCACTTTCTCAGGAGGTTACAGAGCTTTGCAGCAAGATTAAGTTCCAGGCTGAGCTGCTGTGCCATCTGACTGTTGAACACTATGTTACACAGACATTTTAATGACTCCACAATAACTGGGAACTCTGACACCTTCTCCAAAGAATCATCCAACTCATTTAGCTTGGCTAGTCGCAGCAGTATCTGCATATTTTCCTTAGTTGTTACAGGAACTAAAACCTTTTTGTCTCTGGAGAGAATGCGGAGTACTTCTAGGCAGGACACTTGACATGTTGTTGGGATGTCCTTTATAAGGACTTTAAATATGCCTTCACAGAGTTTCTGAAAAACAAGAACGAGTAGGCAAAAATCATTATTTGGCTCAAATGATTTAAAGTAGAATGCTTCTCTACCAATGTATTTAACAACAATTAAAGATCTGGATAGAAAAGGTTTTTTACTATTTTTTAAATCACAGAATGTTAGAAACTGAAATATAAGGTGACTGAAAAATACCTTATATTTGGTGTACTTCTTTCACTTTACAGATGGAAATTGAGGGCCAGAGAGGTTAAGTTACTTGCACTGGGACACAGTGAATTAATGGCAGAGTAAGAGCTAGAGGTATGAGTTTCCTAGCTTCCAGCCTAATATTCTTTCTATAAAATCAATTATTCTATTTTAAACTGACTAGTTTCAAATGTCTTATGTAAGTTTTGTTTTTGGATGACTTTTTAACATCAGACTAAACATAGTATCAGGATGGAAGGCAATCAGTTTGAATCACAGCTGTTCCCTTCCCAGAAATAAAGATTAACGCCTAAAGAATTGGCTCATATTTGTCCACAGTACAGGCTCTTGCAAAAAGACTTAAAGTTAAGTATGCATTTCTGTTGAGTTTTAGTTGTGCTATTGCTTCTGAATTTACAGTTCTTTAGCAGTAGTCCCATGTTTCAGAAACCCCAGAACCCCCTTTAGCTAAAATCTAATAATATTTAATCATCAAATAACCCCAGAGAAGAACTTTTGCTGACAAACTGATTAAAAATTACTCCAGGTGTTAGGTTCCAAATAGAGTTGAATTAGCATATATTATGCCTTGGGCCAATTGCAAAAAGGTGACCCCTCCTGGCAGACAAACTGCAAAAAAGAGTTCCCATTGGGTTGGTAAATTATTAAAAAGCACACATGGCTTGGGAAGCTCAGATTGTGGATAGAATTTTAGCTTTCTTTTGTTCTCTTGCTGTAGGGCACAGATCATACAAATATATGCAGCAGTTCTGGTTCCAAATCTTGCTACCAGTATCTCAAAAACAATTCTAGAATGAACCCAAATATCTTATATTTCCTGAAAAGGAATTTGTTATACCATTGCCAAATTTAAGAATCACTGACCATTCCCTCAAAATTCAACATCAGCTTTCTTCTCCACAAACTGCAGGCCTGGGTCTCTCAAGCTTATTCTTATATGTGAGGCAAGAATGTATAACCACTCCATCACTGAACATTTCTGTATTCCCTTACACCTTATAAAAACAACAACTACTATTACCAATATAAGATTTTACAAAGTTTCTATTAATCTATCATCAGATTTAACTCTTTAATAAAAAGAGGCTGCCTGTGGGGTCAGACATTACGATCTTGTCAGGAAACCCTGGCTATGTACACCTTCTTACAGTGCACATAGTCATCAGCTACAGAAATGTCTATTTTAAATGTAGTCATCCCTTGGAATCTGTGGGAAATTGATTCCAAAACCCCTGCAGATAATAAAATCCACAGATGTTCAAGTCTCATATAAAATGGTACAGTATTTAAATATAACCACCTACGTACATCCTCCTGTATAAGTTATCACTAGATTATATCTAATACAATATAAATTGCTATGTAAATGGTTGTTGTATTAAGGAATGATGACAGAAAAGTTTGTACGTGTTTAACACAGACGATTGTATTATGTTCTCTAAATAGATGCGGAAAGGAACTTTACTTGATAAGCCAAAAAAATTTCCATAACAGTGTCAATTCTATCCCTACCATACCTGGTAATTAGAAAGGACTTTCTTTTAATGTTTTAATATTATTGTTAAAGCACTTTTTTTTGAATGAAGTTTGGGGATAGGAGAAAGTATACTGTGCCCATTATTAAAAGTATACAGAACAGGGAAAATTTTCTCCATATTTAAATCTTTCACATTCAAGACAAAGAAATTCATATGTGGTATATATTCCTGGGGGTGGAGTCAGGTCACCTTTGTTTCCATACAGTTTTATTCAAGAAGGAAATATCTACCTTCCTCCTTAAGTTGTGAAACATGTAATAAGGTATTATAAAATATTATATATGTGAATTTGAAGTTCTACATATCTAATAGCACACAAATATCTTTTTTCCATTCTAAACCAAAAACAACAACAACAATAAAATTTTTAAAAATGTATGGGCAGCATGACACCTTTCTTCCTAATAACTTTAGACTCAAGAAAGAAAAAGAGCAGAGCATGAAGACAAATTGGAATAGCCAGGTCTATACATAAACCAAATGGACTGAGAAACTCTAGGACATCAAAGAAATTAAAGGTACCTAAAAAATTTACAGTTAAAAACTGCTTCATCTAAAAGCTTGTAGAAGATCATCCAGCAAGCGAAGACAAGATCTTTTTGCAGTTTTTAATTACAGTTGTTCTTGAACATACCATTTCTCACTACAGACCTACCTCATACTATGACTGTTCTGTAGCTTTTCGCTATATCTCTTAAAAAAGTAATACCACATTTTGGACAATGACTCCTTTTTAAAATTATAATTTTTAGAACCAAAACCATGTGAAATACAATAAGTGATATTTAATCAACGTATCAATGCTTTACCCAATACAATAATTTCAATTTAAAGATTATCAGGAACAAATTAATAAAAGTGGTTGAAAAGGCAGCATTCTTTATAGCTCCTCTACCTGTTGAGTTTGTGCGCTGCTTCGTTTCAAAGGTGTTCTTGTATTTCCCCTTTATTTTGCCCTATCAGAACTTTTCTGTGCTATAATTATTTAAGTTGATTTTACTCTACCTAAAACATGCTCTGCTCTCCTCAAACACCTTTCACAGCTCCCTGCTGCCCACAGAGTACTGCTGAAATGTGCCCAGTGTCCTCTTTCCTACTGTTGTCTGATACACACAATGCAAATGCACAGTTTCTTCTTCAGGTGTTCCCAATTGACTCCCAGTCCCAACCATGATACATCCTGAGTATTTCCTCCACTGTTCCTTCAGTGTGGTATGCCCTGCCACCACATCCACTCATCAAGGATTGCCAAGAACTTTTTAGCAGTTTGCTCCTCAACTGAAACCCTAGAGTAGACTCTAACAGTGGTTCTCAAACTTCAACATGCCTCATAATTACCTAAAGGACTATTAAAAAACAGACTGTTGCACCTCATCCCTAGAGTTTCTGATTCAGCAGGTCTGGGATGAGGATCCAGAAATGGGACTTTTAACAAATTCCTAGTAGGTGCTACTGCTGGTCAGAATCCGCAATGTGAGAACCACTGAACTATGATCAACAATGGACTGACATAATTTGGATGTTAGGGTCAAGGGTTAACTGAGAATACCGGACCAGGTGAACACAGAGAAGCAGGAAGTCTTGAACGCCGTTAGCACAACACCTTGACTTCTCCTTCACTGCCGTGTGCTAAAGATGCGGAAGCGTGGCAGGCACAGGAATCAGATGTCACTGTCTAGTCACATTATCTTTCTTAACTTAAATATTAAAAACTGCTAGAGTGTGAGGCACATTACTTGTTTAAGGTCAGCAATCCTGGGCTTGAAATTTGTTCAACCTACCACGGACTCTAAAACCAAATCAGTGTGAATTAAGAGCAGAAGTTCTGAATTTAAATTGTTTGCATCCAAATCTTGGCTCTTCTACTTAACAATTGTGACCTTGGCAAGTTACTTAGTCTCTGGACCTCATTTACTGCAAGAATTAAATGAGATCATGCATGTACAACACTTACGGCAGTGCCTGGCAAGTGATAAATGTTCAGTACAGGTTATCTATTACACATTATTATAAGGTAAATTGTCAAAGTCCTCCGTTTGGCACTTAAGATCTACTAACCTGCTCTGAGTCGTCTTTCACACTATTTTTATCAAATTTTCCTCTTTAGCTATATTCCTTTCCAAATTATCTCACATTAGCTTTTTTACTTTCTTACTGCCTCCCTCTCCATGTCAGTCCTTTTCCTTTTCTATTTAAATTTTAGCCATTCTTGAAGGCTAAGCTTAAAACCCATTTTCAACATAAAATTTTCTCTAACCACTTCAGCCCTCAACATTCTTCCTTTCTAAAGGATACCTAAATCACAAATTTGTAGCAATCATTTGATGCTTAGCACATCCATCCTGTTAGTTTTCTTTTTACGAGTTTGCCTCCACTACTAAAAGCTCTCTGAAGGCAAAAAGGACATCTTTTTTACAAGAGAAGAAAATGTATTGTAGTGGCTTTTGAATCATAGACCTGAATTTAATACCTTCTTTGCCACTGTATGACTTTTTTTTTTTTTTTAAACTAACTGTGTGATTTAGACACTTCTNTTTTTTTTTTTTTTTTTTTTTTTTTTTTTTTTTTTTTTTTTTTTTTTTTTTTTTTTTTTAGTCTCGCCCTGTCGCCCAGGCTGGAGTGCAGTGGCTCACTCTCGGCTCACCGCAACCTCCACCTCCCAGGTTCAAGCCATTCTCCTGCCTCAGCCTCCCAAGTAGCTGGGATCACAGTTGTGTGCCACCATGCCCGGCTAATTTTTGTATTTTTAAATAGAGTCGGGATTTCGCCATGTTGGTCAGGCTGGTCTTGAATCCCTGACCTTGTGATCTGCCTGCCTCAGCCTCTTAAAGTGCTGGGATTACAGGTATGAGCCACCGTGCCCGGCTTCAGTTTCTCATTTTTAAAAAAATGAGAGTAACATCCATACCTCACAGGGATGTTATGAAACAGACCCTGGGGCATAATAAGCACTCTAATAGTTACTATTATGTTTTATTTCTTCATAATCTTAGTTGCTCTTAAGAGAGCAACTAAGCAACTAGAACATAATAAGCATCCTCCCTCCAACTCAAAAGAAATTAAGAAGTTCCTTAAATCTCAAGCATTAGTAGAGGTCTATTAATAATGTCTTGACACTTCTCCTTTCTAAGAAGGAAAGAAAGTAGTAGGCGCTATTCTTGTGATTGTACTGGTAGGGTGGTTTACCCCCCTGGGTAAAAGTATTTTCACAGAAGTAGCAGAAGGTATGTACCTTCATGTAAAGTTCTTTTTTCTGAAGAGTTTAAATTACCT